GGAATTAACGCGAATCTCGACGCGGCTGACGTATTAAGTTCCGTCCGGTCGGCCGGGGGAATCCGGCGAGGCGGTCTCGCCTTTCGGAATCGTTCGTCGCGTTAATAACGCAGGTCCGGTTTCCACGGGGCGAAGCGCCCCAGCTCCCGATGTCTGTTGAATGTTCCATGCATCCCCGGGGTGCGGTAGGTTTGGATCTTTCATGCGGTCCAACCGGCGGCTCTGCAATATGGAGGACCCGCGGCGCCTCGCGCCCGGGAATCGCGTAAAGGGAAACCTGGAGAATGCTACCCCGACAGGAGCGCCCGTTCCTCCGGGACGCCCCCTGGAATTTGGGAGCCTCCCCTTTTTCCAACGCTTCGTTGCCCAGGGTGCATCCCCAGGCAACGTGGATCCCCGATAAAGCTGCAAGAGCGAATGCCAGAAGATCGAGACCTGGACTTGATCTTGAACTTACATGTTCGAGTATCGATCTTGCGAGGGTGGTTAAGCTTTGGCTCGAATTTGTTGCAAGACATTTCTGAGCCCCCTTTCTTTCCACTCCCCAGCTGCCCGTGCAGCCATATTCAGGGGGTGGATTTTCAAGGTGACTGGGAAGGGAATCCACCTTACCCAGGCCCCCGGAAAATTTCACCGAGAGAGGGGGGGAGAGTTACTCTCGAAACTCGCAGGAATTTCGGCAGTTCGCGGATTAGCCAGGGTCTCGGCCCGATCCGCAAAATCCGCCCAAGGATTCTCACGTAGAGGGTCCGCGGGGGTTGGACGGGGGTTGCAGACTTTCGGCGTGGAACCGACCGACGGTGGAGGGTCACGTTCCACGGGGGTAACTTGGCCCGCAAAGCCGTCGGGGGTATCGAACTTTCGGCTTGATATATCGGCCCAGAAGTTCCCGCTTCTGGGGACTGTCCGCGTCAGGGTGGCAACTGATCAGGACCCTATTGTGACGAGGGATCGAGTCGGTCCCCGGACTTGTGTCGTGTCTCCGACGTCCCCTTCCGCACCCTGGCCCGAGACAATGTCGACTTCCGGTTCCCCGGGACCGGGTCAGGAGTCCAGGGTTCCTGGTCCTAGGGAGCTCCCTATCGTCCTCCAAGGTACATCCAACTCGGTTCTCCGGGATATCGGGAACGAACGCTCGTCGAATCTTCCCACCCTGGGACGAATGGTGCCTCAAATTATTCCAGAAGGGCCGAGGAGGGATCATCCCTTCGCGAGGGTCGATGTGAAATGGTTCGTGCGTTGTCACCCCCGAGGGACCCAAATCGCATCAGCCAATCACCTGTGCGTCAGTCGAACGATTACACGTCGTGTAATCGTGGCTTAAGACGGCGGGCTCCCCTTAAGCGTGTAGCCGATTGTACGTGCGAATCGGCCGGGTTGTCGCGCATCAGGCGTCGGGGTCCCCGACGTCGCCGACGTCGATAGGACGCTTCGAGGCCCTCGTTCGGTCCAAATCTCGATTTTGGGGATATGAACTGAAATTAAGAGTTCATTTAGCTTGCTACAAGCCCTTGGGTTCCTTTCAAGTGTATGTCGATTGTACGTGCGAATCGGGCCGGGTTGTCGCGCATCAGGCGTCGGGGTCGCCGACGCCCACGGGACGCTTCAACGTCCTGGTTCCCTCAAATCTCAATTTAAATGAAATCAATCGAAACGAATAGCTTATTTACCCTTAGAGCAAAATCTGTTACATTTCCCTCGACCTCGCCTCATAAGATTCTGTCCGTACTTCAGGAATCGGATATCCTCCCCCGTCTCATTATTCCTCGATCCATAGTTCTCCCTCCCCCCTTCCGCCCAATTCCTCCCCCCCCGGAGAACCGTTTCACATTTCGTTCCAGCCCCTTTTAACCGCTGACTTCCATTACCGTGACGTAAGAAGTGTCTCCCAAGAAATTCATTCGGGGTAAGAATTCCACCGTCAGAATTTAGGATATCCACCCTTCCGTTTCCTTCATCCCTCGTGGAGACGTGGACGTTTAATCGGGAATCTCGCCGAGGGTGTCCGGGTCTGCGGCTTCCCGGGGGGAGGAGGACCTCCTCCTCGACCGCGCACACCTACTCGGGGGTGCGCCGCGGCTAGGGGGGGTGGAAAAATATCGGGTATCAAATACCGGCATACTAGGTGAGCCGAGAGCCGGGCTAGAATTAAATTCCAACGAGACACTTGAGTTTGGCTTTCGAGGGGTGAGCTCTCGGCCGGCTTTGGGCGCCGACGGAATTCTCGCCCCCTTCCGCCCCCCCGACTCGTCGGGGGTGACTCCCGTGTTTTCCTCCGCTCTTCGCCGCGTCTTTCCACCCCCCGGCCCTTACATCCCTCGCAGGATCGATTTCCCGGACCCGCCGAATTTCCAAAGGTCCCCGAGTCCGTAGGTACAACGCGGAGCACATTTGAAGATATCCCACCCCCTTTCGCTTCCGGCCCGCCGAAGAAGTCTAGGGGCTGGTACCGGGGGGTAAGGGTGAGGGCGACTGGACGTGTCCAGGATTAAGCGAGGCCGTCCTGCCTCGTTGCGGAGGATACTCCGGGCTTCCTCCACTTTTCTCTCTATCTCGTCGAGGAAGGAAGCCGTTTAAAGGTTTCAGCTCTGCACCAGACTCGGCTATATATCTCGCCGCGGTTGGCTTGGATTTCCTCCTCCTGCCCCCCCTTTCATCCCCCTCCGTGCCCAGAAATTCCCACCGTTCACCAAATATCTTTTCGGCTCCTTCCGAAGTCACTTACCGGGCCCCCGCGGCCTTCCCCTCCGATCAATTTTTCCGCCCGTATTCTCTCTTCCCGGGAAATCGATTTCCACCCCTCTGAGGAGAGGGAGGGAGCCTCCGTGATTCCCAGGGATGGCTTCTACCCCCTTAGAAGGCCGAGCCAGCACGGAAGTGTGATTTAGAAAATAATCCTAAGCGACTCCCCATGTAGGTCGCGGGCGATTTATGCGAGCGATTAGCGCGCCGCGCGAGTCTCCACGTCGAGGCCCTGCGGGGGGTCGTTCCTTCACCCCCCCCTGGCGACGGAGACCCTATCTGCTGGGGTAGTTTCGCGTGCTCCACCGTCGGGAAGGTCGCTTTTCCCGGCCGAACAAGGTTTATTGCTTCGTTGATATGCTACGGGGGCCTCCCGGAAGAAATTCCACGATTAAACGCGGAATTCTCACCCCCGGTTCCTCGCGATCAGCTGACCGCCGCCATCTTTGGGGAGGGATCCCTCCCTCCGAGATGCCGATCGCGAGAGAAAATCGAGAGGTGGGAAACGGGAACGCGGCCGGGGATATAAATCCGATAATAATCTCGAGTTAGCCCATCTGGGTCACGGGGGTGAGATTTATGCGAGCGATTAGGGCGCCACGCGAGTTTCCACGTCGACGGAACGCCGGGCCGACGGCTCCGTCGACGGTGCCCCCTGTCCCCCCTGCCGACGGCGGGTATTTCGTGTGCTCAACCGCCGAGAATGTAGCGTTTACTGGGCGAGTGCAGTTCACGGTTTCGTTAAATTCCGCGCGGCTTCCAGGTGAAGTATTCATTCCTTCTAGTCCCCATCCCCCGTGCGTCTCCCGGGCGGCAAAAGCCGGGGATAAAAAGAGGCCGGAGGGCCAGCCAGGCGGAGAAAGAGACCGCTCGTTCTTTCTCAGAAGGTGGAGGGAAAAGCTGCCCCCCCGCGCGGACCGGAAGTCCGACCGGCGTTTTCCCCCGTCCGCCGTGTTTATAATGGCCAAGCTCCCCTTTCCTTCCCCCCATGGTTTTTGGAAATAAATTCTACGCTCTCTTATCTCCTGTCCACCCCCGCACGGCTTTCGGGGGACGCTTTAGCTCCCGGGGCACGGCCTCGGATTTTCGGGATTTGGACGCGTTTGGGGCGCTCTACCCCTCGGTAATTTCTCCGAGATTCCTCGGGAATTTACCCTAGGTAGACCGAGGTTATCCTGGGAATTGAGGAAATTCGAGTCGAGGGGTGGTTAGGGTGCGGAGGCGGTGGTGGTCTTACTGTGTTTAGGTCAGAAAATGGGGGGAGGTGGGGAGAGGTGAACCTTGGGGGTTGATCGGATCTGAGGAGGGGGTGAGGTGAACAAAAATGGGTCTATAGAGGAGACTTCTTTATATTTCGCGCGGGGTGGCTTTATATATTTCGGACCCTGCGAGGTACCGCGGCAGCGCATTATAATTCCCCATAAAATGGTTTACGATGACAAAACGCTGCGAATGTCCTACGACGCCTATCGGACGAGGTTATGGTTTAGGGCGAACTCGCAATAAAACCGATGCGTCCGTATATGCACCCCTCAAGAGGAGAGCCTGTGGTGACTCGGAGGGGGTGCTTAAATTCGAGTTCCCGGTCGAGAGGAAACCTCTTCGAATTTAAGGACACCCCCCCATTGATCCGAAACGTCGCGATCTGTACAACTCAAGGGGAAAGAAAGAGGAAATTCGAACTCGAGGGTGTCTTCGATTTTAAATTTCATTTTACACCCCGCAAGGGTGGATCCTCGTTAGGGCAAGCCAGGGAGTGGAGAAACGTCCTGTAAGCGGTATCCTGGAAACCGGCGATTTTTTTCCCACTCCCCCTTTTGCAGCCCTCGACCCACCCCCTAGTAGCACCGGAGGAAGTTACATTTTTGCGCGCGAGTTTGCGGGGCCACCCTCGCGACCACCCCTCACCCTCCACCAGTTGCAAACTGGATGCTGACTCAGCCGGGACCTCCTCGGGAACGACTTGCCCGCGAGCTTGCGAAAACCTCTGCTGAGACATTCACTTACACCCCTTGTTCGACCGCCCCGACTCGGGGGTTGTTCTGGCTCGATCAGTTTACGAGCCCCTCGCCCAGGGGTGGATCCATTTTCGGGGTAAAGTCGCCGCCGAAAACTACACGGAGGCCCCAGAAATCCACCGGATTGCTGAGACCAAGAATCCAATACTAAGGGATGCATTCTCGGGAACCACCCCTCGGACTAAAAACAGGACTAAGGGAGGAACCGATGGATTTCGGGGGAATAAAGAATCGTCGGGATTTCTTCTTTTTTTTTTTTTCAACAGGAACGTACGTTTATTTTGCACTGAGCAGAAATACAAGCTATTCATGAAAGATGAGGTTACAGCGGCCGCAAGCCCCCCTCCCCGTCCTCCCTCGCTCATCTCTGTCTCGATCATCCCTCTCCTTCTCTCGACACCCCCCGAAGAGGTAACCCTCGCCCACCGGCTCTTTCTCCTCCCGTCCGGATGTAGAGCAAGATAATAATCGTACATGTACATATAATTACATTTTGTGCATTATCATAATTTAATATACATAGACAATATATGTATATATATATTATATCTTAGAAAATAAATATATATATATGTATATACTTCAATATTACTCCCGTCCGCCGGTCGGTCTCTCGCGCGCGCGCGCGCTCCTATCTCTTTCTCTCTCTCTCACTCACACTCGCACCGCTGCGCCTCGCATTGTTATTCTCTCTTTCACTCTCTCTCTCTCTTTCTTAAAAAATAACGATATTCGGAGTACGCCACCGTACAAGAGCCACCGTCGGAGGAAAGAAAAGAAGAACGAAGGTGAGGAGTAAAGGTACCGCGAGGCGGATTCGAGCCGGCTTTCTTGTCTCTCTTTTTTCCCTTTTCTCATTCCCGGTTCCGAAATCGGGACGAAAGACATCTCGGAGGCTGGGGGGCTGGGGTGGGGGGGACTCGGTACACTTAAGCATGACCACGCACACATATACACGCACGCGCACCCTCGCTGTGAGGTTACAGCGCGGTCCCGCGCGTCCATCTTGGCAACCCTCGAAGATCACACTTTTTTCTATTTTCTTTTTTCTCTTTCCATTCCCCTCTTTCGTCTCTCAGTCGTCCCGACGAGGCGGCGCCGCGCGTCCAGGGGGGGGGGGGGGTTCTGTGAAAAAAATGGCGCTCGCAAGAAATGAAGGGTCCCCGTGGAAACGCCGTGGATGAAGTCAAGAACCCCGAAGAGGGGGCGAGATGTCGCGGTCGACCTTTCAGGGTCGACTTCGAGGACTCGGTGCGCGGGAAAAGCTGTGGAAAAATCAGGGACACTGAAAAAACCACCACGAAGCGTGTACTTAAGTTTATAAGTGAAAAGACACGGCCTGCTACCCTCGTTTCCAACCCCGAAGTCGGTCGCGATGCGCCCTCTCTTCGGGACCCCCGGAGTCTCCTCGGGGGTGGTTCCTCGTGGGGGTACGTCGACGCGAGGGCGGCGGCCTCGTCGAGCCCTTTCCCCTGGTTCCTCTCCCGAAGGGTGGAACTTCTCTCCGTCTCCTCCCGGTGATCCTCTCGAGCTTTAAGCGTAAAGCCATTTTTGTCTCCGTTCGCATTTCCCCTCTTCTCCCTGCCCCCTTTTATTCGCGCCCTCCCTCGCGTCTCATTCGCCCCGGCACTCGTCACGGAGGGGTGTTCGCTTAAAATTATTGTTTTCTCTCGTTTAGCCATCCCGGCGGAAAAATGGCCGATCGAACAACCGGCCGGTGCTATCACGGTTCCGCCGGGCGGAAGTCACCGACGAGGGGGGTGGAAATATTCCGCTAACGACCCTTGACTCCCTCCGAGCCCCGAAAACGATAAATCGAGCCCTCCCCTCTACGCACCCTCTCTCTACTGGTATAAATAAAAATCTTTCCCTTTTTATCTAGCCCCTCCAACAACAACAACCCCTTCCAGGGGTCGACCCTCCCTCCCAACGGGACGAGAGCTCCGCTTCTTTAGTTAATTATTTATTTACTTCTTTTTTTTTGTTTTAATTATTTACAACCGACCCGCTCGCTCGATCGCGGAAGGAGTCGACCTAGGATCCCACCCTCTTCCCTTCGGATAGCGACTTCACCCCCTTTCCTGGAGCACCCCATAGGGAGGAGGAAGGAGGCGTCGTGCGGCCGCGTTTCCGAAAATAATTTTTTCTTTCCTAATAACAATCATTAATCTCCCCACCGTTGGGTCCGGCTCGGGCTATTCATCAGGGCCGACAAGCCCAGGACGATAAGGACATTCAAGGACCCCTCTTCCGCACCCACTGTGCAGGGGAGAACTTCCCCACCCCCGAGCCGACATCGGTAGGGCAATATTCATAACAATTTTCAACTGCTGCGAATTCAACGAGATTCTCGGAAAAAGTAATTTTCGCCTCCGCCCGACCCCTCCCCCCGCGGCGTCGACGAACGGACTCCGCTCGCGGAAAACGCCGAAGGACGAATATCCTCTCGATAACTCGCCGTTTACAGTGCTTATATCGATAGCCAGCGCCGGCCTCTCGCAACGTTACAAAGTAATTCATTTATACTCGTTACACCCTCCAGGCCTCTGGCGCTCCCCCTCCCCCCCCCCCCGCGAATTTGTACAATGAAAACGATACGACTGCAGTCAGCCCGATTAATGGATAATTAATACTATATGTAATTTACAGGAAAATAAAAAGAAGCGCCGAATCGGAGCAGCTCCCGTCCTTCACTCGACGGGTCTGTCTCTTTTTACATGCTTTGATTCCGGGTTTCGCCCTCTTTCGCTCCCCCTCCACCCCTCAAGGGGGAGGGAGACGTCCCCCACGTGCTCCTGGTACACTTAAAGCTTTCCACGACCGACTCGCGAGTCCTTTGAGATCTCCTTCGGAGATCACCTGGGGATCTTGCGATGTCCTGTCGCTCGGTAGTCGGTTTAAGGACGGGGGGAGGGAAAGGTCCCCCGGTGGGGCGATTTGCCCTCGGATGGAGCCCTCGCCCGGCGGGGCGGGGGGTGCGGCTCGCGGGTTCCGCAAGCTTACAAGTCGCTAGGAAGATGTCTAGGAAATCTAGGAAAAGGAAAACCAATCGGAAGGATAACGATTTTCTCCATCCGCTCTCCTCTCTGTCGCACCTCCACGCACGCACTCGTTCTCTCTCTCTCTCTATCGCACACACTCGCGGTCTCGGCGATCCTGTCGGGACGTCGGGACCAGGGCTCCGTTTCCTCCTGTTTTTATCCTCCTCCTCTTATCCTTGCGATCCGCTGAATTTAGGATTTTTCAGGACCTTTTTTAATTTATTTTATTTTTTTCTTTTCTCTTGAAAATGGAATTTTCATCTCGAGTAGTCGTCAGGTGGGCGGAGGAGGGAGGACGAAAACCCGGGATAAGGGTCCTGGTCCCGAAGGATGCTCGGGCACGGCTTCGCCGATGCCTTAGTCATCCTGGCCGCACGAAATCTCCGCAGCCGCGGAACCGCAGGGCCGGCAACGCTCCCGCATGCGTCGCACCGCAATCGACACCATACGCGCCACCTAATGTCGTATTCACAATTATACAAATATACGGAGATATACAACGAGGTACAGAATTCTGGAAAAAGAGTTCTCTCTATCACGAGCCGGCCGTCCTCCACGGCCGTTCCGCGCGCGTCCCTTCCTACATCGTTTCCGGGTTGTTTTTCTTTTTCTTATAAAAAAAAGAACAGTTTTCTTTCCTACCTACTTTCTCGGGCTACCGAATCTCTCTCTCGCTCTCTCTCCTTTTCTTCGTCTCGCATTCACCCATTCGCGCGTCCTCCTCTCGCCCCTTAGAACTCTACCCTTACGTACAAGGAGAAACGTTAGTGTGTGGGGTGTGTGTTTTCCTCGTTATCCCTTAATCGTACATTGTTTTATTGATTTTTTTTAATTTTCTTTAAACGTGGCTAGAACGTAGAGCGCGCTGTCGCATGCCTGTATAAAATCCCTAAAAACACTAGCCTACCATGAATCGTGGTTGTCGATGACGTAGTGACTATGACTCGACTTCCGGGCCGGCGAATCCGGGCCCGGAAACCCGCGCGACCCCTTTACGCCGCGGATTCCGCGCCCCCGCGGATGCTCCGGGCCGACGCGGAATTCCGCGTACGTCTCGCGCGCGGAGGCGGCGCGGCGCTCCGCTCGGACCCGCGCCCCCGGCCTTTTTAGGCCTCGCGGTATTCCGACGTCGTCCTCCGCTTCCGTCCCCCGATGGCGCGTGGAATGCATTTCGCTCGCTCGTCTTTCCATTTTGGTTCGTGCTGACTCGCTGGGGTGTACGTGTCCGTCTGTGTGTACGTGTTTCCTAATGCATGCGCATGTGTAATGAACGCGTACGCGGGCGTTTCCGTGCGCGTGCGCGCGGTGTAAGGTGCACGGACGTGGGATTCATAAATCCTGCTCGACGCAGCGGTTGACATCCTTCCGAAGGCAGCGAGAAGGAACGAGAGCCAACAAAGGGGCCATCCTCTCCCTCCCTTGCCGTCGTTTCGACATTATCTCCCTTGTGCGGGGGTTTTACGCAGAATCTGTGAGATAGAGAGGGAAATAGAGCCCCCTTCCTCTCTCCTTCGCGATCAGGCCAGAGTTTATATATTCCACGTCCACGCACGGGTGGCAATCGAGTGTGCGCATGCGCGCGGCGATCCGCACTCCGAGGCGGTCGGGCGCGCACTGAGCCGCTCCTCCGTCGAGCTCCCCGTTCACCCCCAGATCTCGCGCCTCGTGGCGCCCCCTAGACTTTTGATTCTCGTCCGTTAATCGCCTTGTCCTCCCTCAACAAGTCTTTAGTCGCCAAAGGTCACTTTTTAAAAATATATCTCATCTCGGCCCGTGCACCCCTCCCCGCCCTCGAGTGCCCCTGCTTGCATCCCCGCGTGCCCCCGAGTGTTACATCGGGGGGTGCGGACGGAGCACACGGTCGGCCATATGTGTCGGGGTGTCAGTGCGTCAATGCGCGGGTGCAAGTGTATCCCGGGGGTGGTACCTCCCTCCGCTCCTGCGCATGCGCTTGTGCGTGTCTCCCATGTATACATGTGTGTGTGCGCGCCGCGCGGTGAATCGCGCGTCCTCCTTCCCCCGGCACCCTCTCTCGTCCCGTCCCTCTCTCTCCCTCCACGAGATCCTTATTGTACGCGAGTATCGTAAACACAGATTATACTTATCATACCTCGTACAACGATGCGCGCTAGAGCTCCTTAAAATCGCGCGTTAGACTTTACCTTATACTCCCTAGCCAAGTCCTCGCCTCTTAATCGCCGCCTCCCTATCTCATATCTCGTTCCGTCTATCTATCTAACGTTCTATCCATCTACCTATCTACCTATCGACCTAGCTACTTACCCTATCTACCTATCCATAGTCTCTATCTACCCCTTCGCCCGAACTCGGTGTGTACATCCGCGCGGAGTGGGGGGAGGGGGGGTTGTCTCTCTCTGAGAGTGAGTCCTTACCATCTAGTTAATTACAGGTGAGTGTTAATATCGAAGACGATCGCGCCCCGTCCCCCCATCCCCCTTCTCCAGGCCCCCTCCCGCTCATCCCGCAGGACTCGCCGGTCGAAAGCGACTCGGCGCTCCGAAACGCTCTCCTTCTCTCTCTTTCTCTATCTCCCTCGCTCTCTCTCTCTCTGAGCCGACCGGAAGCGACGAATGACAATTTCCTGCGGCTTTGTCGCGCGAGCGGGTGTGCGCGGCCCCCCCGCAAGCGGGACTCCTGCCGGAAATTCGCGGGAGGGAACGCCGGTCGGGAGAGGGGCCGAACGCGGGGAGAGTCCCTCGGGACTCCCGGGGAGGATCCTCCGTGGGAAGCCCCCGGCCCCCGCGACCCGCTTCCGGGAGTCCCAGGTGTCCCTCGGGAACCCCGGGGGAGGGGCGCCTACTCCCCGTATATATGGCTATCAAAAGGAGACGTCATTCTGCTCTATCTCTCTCTCTTTCTTTTTATATATATTATACATAATATATATCTTCGATATTTCCTCCCGAAAAATGTCCGAGTCCCATCCACGCTGATCGCTCGGCCACTCGCGCCATCTCCCTCGCTCTCCCGCCGCTCGGTATACCTCTGTCTCCCTCGCACTCGCACCTCCGCCCACTCCGTGCCGAATCTGAATCTCTCTTCTCCCTATCTTTCTCGCTCTCCCCCGCGCTTATTCTAGAGTCGCGTAAAACTCGATAACTAATGCGAACGTGTGGTAACAAACAATGAAACACTGAAAGAATTGCACGATATACAAACTTAGCGCTCTCTCTCCCTCTCTCGCTTTCTCTCTCTCTCTCTCTCTCACGCACTCTCACGCAGTCTAAAGATACATCGTTGGGTCGCCTACGCGCGTAATCAATTAATTTATTTGGCCACTGAACATTTAAAATTTAGGTGCCTCACGCTCTCTCTCTCTCTCTCTCTCTTTCTCTCTTCGCTTCGTTCTCTCCCTCTAGCAGTCTCCCCTGTCGCTCGGTCGCTCTCGCGCTCCTTTTTTCTCAGGTAAGGTCAGGGATTAGTCTTCTTAAGAAGTTAGTTTTGATGAGTGCGCTTGGAAGGATCGCTCGGCCGTCTCCTCCGCTTGCCTGGCTGGCTCCTCTCCTTTGTTCCGCCCCCTCCTCCCCCCCCCCTCCACCCCTCTTTCCAGGACTCCAGGGTCCTTGGACGGAGGGTCGCCGCCGAGAAACGACGAGCGTAGGCCTCGGGACTCGGCCGGGGGACCAGGATCCGCGTCCCCTTGTTCGGGTCCTCGGTCTGGACCGGGACGCAGCATCCTGAGCCCTGTGGACGAGTCGGATGACGGACCTGGTGGGGTCCAGGGTGGCTCCACCGATGGCGGGTTCTAACGTAGTGGCAGTGATGGACGCCTACGGCAAGTCGGATGCGGAAGGCTCTCTATTGGGCGGCCGCATCCCTCGGAAGTCGGGGGACCCCGGGGAACGAGTCCTCGAGGTGGCCTAGTGGACCCCGGAAACGCGGAGTTCCCTGGAGTCCATGGCCGACGTAGGTCCCTCCGGCCTCTTCCTCGGCGTCCATCGAGACCCGGGGTCCACGGCAGCGATCCGGATCGTCGTCGGGGGCATCCCGTTCCTCTCCCCTGCCCCCCAACGACGCGACCCTCCTCGGCGCGACGGCCTCTCGCGGGAGCCTCTCCGGCCTCCGGGAACTCGGTCTCATTAGACGTGTCTCTTCATGTGGAGGGCCAGGTGATCGCTGCGGGAGAAGCACCTGTCGCAGTACCTACACTTGAACGGCTTTGCCCCCGTGTGCTTGCGGTAGTGGCGAGTCAGCTCGTCCGATCGCGCGAATCGCCACTCGCAGCCCTCCCAGGTGCACTTGTACGGCTTCTCCCCTGGAACAGAGAAACGAGAGGGTCCTGCTGAGAACGTGGCCGATTAGACGGGCCCCGAGGAGAAATACGAGAAAACGCTTCCTACGAAAGTTCTTCCCCTCCGCGAGAGCTCGAACTTTCGTGGGAAGCGTTTTTTCGTGCGGGGTCGGGGTTCGCTGGAAATCCGTGGGGAAGGGGACGGGGATCGATCTCGCGCTCCTGGGACGCGGGCCTATCGAGGGTCGCTCCCTCAAACCCTGTCGGCGGGAGGTTAAATATTTTCCCGCGGTCGAGAGCGCATTATTAATCCATAAATAATCCACTCGGGCAATATGGAAGATGGCTGACGTTGATGAGGCCGACGCCGAGGTCGGGAGGAAAGAGAGACAATGCCGGGTCACCACCTGTGGCGTGATGTTGCGGAGCTTAACAAGCCGAGGGAGTTGGTTGCCCGGAAGAGGGCGCGGAGGGAAGCTGCGAGCCGTTAGGGGGGAGCTGCGGATGAGGAGGCGCCTCCGCCGTGGTCGTATCGCTCATCGACCTCGCGATAACGAACACGAGGCCGCGGCCTTTACGATCCGCGTCTCTCGTTTCCGCCCTTCGGTTACTCCGGAGCGGTTTGGCCCCTTTCGACCTGGTGCCCGGTACCTTTGACTTTGTCCCTTCGGACTCGAGATCCAGGAACGCCTTGGATGATGCTAAAGGAGACCTTGAAGAGGATCTTGAGGAGAATCCTGAAGAAAAAACCGAATAGGAGGTCCAAGACTGACTCGAAGGAGAACCTGAAGAGGGATTCCCGGCATTCGGGAGACACATTGAGGGGATGATAACGGTGGATCTGCGAAGAACTCGAAGAGGGGGCGAAATTCCTCCAGGGGAGGACGAAGACGCACCTTGGACCAGCTGTCTCCAATTTTTCACGGGTCTCACGCACGACCAATTTCCATCCCACCCTGAAGACCCGCCCCACACGTGTAGCGACGCAATGTACCGAGTAGATGCGTTATTAGACCCTGGGAGACGGATGAATTCCCGTTCCGGGCCAGGCTGGGAGCGTCGCGACGCTGCGGCCCCGGAATTTATGTCGCACTTTGTCCGCGCGCCATCCCGAAGACGCCAGTCACCGAAATGGCTTAAACAAAGCGCCCGCGCTTTTTCGTCAGGGGTGTCGCTCGAGGAGGCGTCGAGGGACGGCCCGGCGACGGCGACAAATCCGGCCAGGACGTGGCGACGCATAAGCAAATCCATGACCGCCACCCCTCGATCTTCAGGGTGCACGGGGGTGCACGTTCGCCGGGGAGATGGGTCACATCCCCTGAAGAAAAATGCCCCGGGATGGCGCATCTTCTCCGCCGGGAGAAGATCGGAAGAGAATCGCGGGAGATCAAGAACCGGCACTCGAAGAGGATGACGAAGAGGCACCTAAAGGGTAAACCTGAATAGTCCCCACAAGCCAGGGTGCGACCTTGGACCGATTAGAGGCACCTGAGATCGTAACCATCTCCAAAGAAATAAAAAACCCGACCATGAAGACGAGGGCCTTCCTTGAAGTAACCACGAAGGAGAGTGTGGATCTTCTCCTGGAAGAGTTCGCGCGAAACGAAGAATCTCTGAAGAGGTGTTCAAAGAGGTACCCGAAATCGACCTCTTTCCACCTGAGCGACAAGAAAATCCCGACGGGGGATGAATTCACCCCCGAAGAAGTCGAAAACCTCGCCCACCGCGCCCGTTCTCCAGGAGGCCGCACGTAACTCGGACACGTCGGGCATTTTATCACCGCATAATAGCCACGGGCGGTTCGTTGCCAACCATGTAATAAAGCCGTATTAAACAAGACGGCTTAACGGATTAAGCCTCCCCTTCCAGCCTCCCCTCCCCCTGCAGCCTCAGCTCCCGCTGGACCGAGAGACGACTCCTGGGCGACCAGGGCGCCGACGATAATCTCTCTCTCGCGGATATCCCACCGTGGTCTAGCTCGGAGACGAAGGGGCCCCCGAGGAGGGGGGCCCACCTTCCCCCTGCGGTATTTACGAAGACCCTGGACGGCGGTAACGCGAGCACCCACCACCCCGGGGAATAATGGACGAGGTGTTGGGTTCTTCCGGGTGTACCCTGAAACGGCACACTCGGCCCTTCGTCACCGGATCCTCCTCTTCCTGATAACGGAGATAGCGGCTGGCGAGCGCGCGTCTTAATTGGATCGATTTTAATTCCACCCCCGTCCATCCCCCTGGCTCCCTCATGGCTCCCGAAAATCCGATTTGGGATTTTCTCCGACACCGGCGTAGAATTTTCTGCCGTCTCGCGGCTCCTCGCGGCTGGATAATTGATCGGCGGATTGCAGGGGGTGGGTGTGGGGGAGGCAAATCCCGGCCCGTGCCGGGAGCGTCCCTCGGGAGCCGGGCGACCGTGCGAGAAGTCGTCGCTTCGGGTTGTCGCCGGGGGGAGGGTAGTCCTTCCCCCAGGACCCCCTCCGGGTCTGAAATTGCCTTATAGCCCGCGCGATCGTGCGCGGCAGGTTTTTCGTCACGGGACGCTCGACTTTTCCTCCTGGAAGGGTGATTTCTCCTGCGCCCGGGAACCACCCTCGGGAACCCCACCCCACCCATCTCCTCCCCCTCGCTTGCACACGGCCCAGGGTATTGCGTCGATATGTCAGTACGTCGGGTGCGCTACCGTCCTCGTCTTTGCATTTTATTAAGCGCCCGTCCGTCGCGACGACGACGCACCCTTCCGTCATGGCGATGGGGAACGTCCTGGGGATCCGCGATTTATGACGCCCCCTTAGGGTCAAGTATTGACTGTGCGCGATGCGCGGTGCACAGAAATTCGGTATGAGCTTGTTCGGTAGACCAATTTGATGGATGTACCTTCCCCGTCGAGCTTCAGGGAAAGGAGGTGAGAAAAAAAGCAGTAGAAAGACGTAGGGAGACATAGAAGCGGGTACGAGCGGGTCGACCCCATCACCTGGCGGCGCCATATACACGAGGAAGCCATTCATGACCGCCAGGGTACACCCGAGTGGGATTCGCAATCGAAACCGAAGAGGACCTTCGAGTCCTGGAGACCGCATCATCCCAGGACCTAAGTTTCCAAAGACGAGGGTAAGGATCCCCGATCGATAAGACCAATAAGATCGATCGCATCGATCGGGGCGTCGGGGAGGGCGCATCGCCGCTGGCCGCGGAAGGACCATCTTCGCCCGGGAGGACTCGATCTTCCACCACCTCCGGGGGACGAGAATGGCCGGGGTATCCTGACCGCAGGCGCCTGCGGTTATCCCGGACTCAGACTCTTTTGCGGTCCACGGCTGTAAGGGGAGACGCGCTCAATAGCGCGGATCCGCCGTACCGGCAACGACCTAGCCCAACCCTGAAGAGGAGGCGAGCACCTCGACGCTCACTTTCTCGGGGCCATTATTTATAAATCGCATTACCGCCGCCCTCCACTAGGTACGTGCCGCGCTTACGTATAGGTGAATACGCAGGACCTCGCAGGACCTCCACGGCGGTCCCCAATGGCGGTCATTCCGCGCGGCGAAATGTAGCGACAAATTTTCCACCGGGACGCTAAGGTCCGTTTTGTACAGCCGCGCAATTTACCGGAAAACGTTACGATCCCGCAGGATGAGACGACGGGACCTCCTGGATCGAGCCGCGTCCGGGCCGTTTGCGGTCCACGCGACGAAAGATGAATGATCACTGGAGTCCTTGGCCAGGATGTGCTCTTATCTCCAGGAAATACGTCAGTTTATCGTATATCCTTAAATCGAGGAAACATTAGACCGATGGGGGAGTCCGCGTAGTGTTCTAGTAAGGAAAAAATGGATTTATACGTCATACGTCGGTTTAGGGATGTATCCTTATTTTGAGGAACACGTCACGTTTAGATGCGGGGAAAGATCGAGGTCGTCCCGGGTAACGCCTGGCGCGTCCTGCTTGGCCGGAAGAAAAGCGGTCCACAATGGACGTGGAAAAGGGCAGAGGCGTTTGCTCCTGGGGTAAGTCGGTAACTTAACACTCGACGGGATAAACGGGCGGCCCCCGGTCGGTCCCCGAAATGGCTAAAATATACAAAAGGCCTTCCTTATCTGGAGGGCCACTTTTCAGGGCGCGTTTGCTCGGCAAACAGGAGGGGAGCCGGTGTTATTATTTTCCCCCGTGGGGCGCAGGAAGAGATCGCGACGCTTCGACCGGTACATATCTCGTCCGGTCCATCCGGTCCCGGAGGAACCGGGTTTCCTGGGGTTGCCCCACCCCCGCCTCGAAGAGAAGCGTCTCTCCACGATTTTCGGATCCCTTGGAGAACGGCTCCTTGTTCCAGGAACGCCAGACGAACGGTTAATTATCACGGAATTAGCGCTCGATCGGGTCGCTTTGATACCTCGTGCCGGAGGAATTGGATTCCCGATTTAATCGGATTGGGCCGGGGCTGATCCCCGAGGAGAACTCCGGACGCCCGTAGGAGCGGTGGCGGTCCCGCGTCTTCCGAAATCCGCGACGACGCGATCGAGGATTTTCCGGCTGGACCGAATCTGGACCGAATATCGGATGCTGGGCTCTGGCGAGGGTCCTCGTAAAAATCCCAACAGGGAAACTAGTTTCCAGGTCTCTCCGGGACGCCAGTTCCCGGGGGTCCGGGGGTCTCCTCCTGAGAGGACCCTCTTCGGAACGAAACTCGATTCGCCGGAGATCAAAGTACCTCCCAGGCATTTCCATCCCTCCTACCCCAGGCGGACCCCCGCGAAGATGAAGGTCCCCTTTGGCGACGCTCCATCAAGGGTCCCTCGCGAGTCCGAATCCGCCCTCGGTCCCGTTTTTTGCGCCCTCCGTCGCCATTGCCGCCGGCCGCGAATTCATAACAGAGTAATAATTGCTGGAGCGCGCGCCGCGATATGCATAATCCCGTAGTTAGCAGTTCTGCTTAACGATCCGCGAGAAGTAATCCCGACCGCGAGCTACAGTGCCGACCTTACCCCGCCCCATCGGGGTGAGTCGCGACGAACCCACCCCCTAAACCCTGGGAACCGGGAATCCTGGAAAACGAGGAGATCGCTAGAAGATCCCACCCCCAGGGTCAGAGGGAGGGGGGCCAGGAGGCCGCAAGTTCCGATAGCTTATCACCCCTGCAGAAGTGGACTCTCGAATAGGAGGAGTTCTTAATCTCGCCCCGAAGAGGAGAAACTTGGTCTCGTTTAATGCGACTCTTTCTGCGAGGGGGGAAGACCGACCAGATCTGCTCCCCACGTGCAAGGGGTGGAGGAGGGGGTGACCATTAATACGGCATTTACTCGGGCGCGCTTCGGGGTTCCTCTGCCGCGTCGGCGCCTTCCCGGCACAACTTTGTCATTAATTATGCATTATTATTCCCGCAATAAGAGGGACGTGCGCCGCGGGGGATTCCTCCGGTCGGGTCTTCGGGGGTAATTCGACTAATAGTGACTCCCAAGGACTACTACGGGGGTCAGAGGGGGGGAGATTGCGCGAGCTAAACCGATTATCCTCGCGGAAGGATCGCAAGGATCCCGGTCTTTGGGGGGGATATCCCCCGGGGAGCCGTGCCCCGGTCTTCCTGGCTTACCCGTGTGCGTCCTCTGGTGAGCCTTCAGGTGGGAGCTTTTCGTGTAGACCTTCTTGCAGCCGAGGAACTGACACTTGTGTATCCTGCGCTTCGTGTCGGGCGGACTGTGCTCGTGGCTCCGGGGGTGGTGCCTGTTCGCCACCCCCGACTGCACCACCGGCGCACCCTGGTGCGCGTGTTGCGCCCCCGTCACCGCAGGGAAGTCGTTCGCGGTCACCGAGATTAGTCTGGAAGACGAAGAGCCGGAGGAATTAGGTGGGACCGTCTCCTAGTCACGTGGCGATGAGCAAATTCGGTCTTGACCTTGCAAAACGTGCATTATCCTGGGAATCCGGCACCCAGGTGAGACCTAGCCTGGCCACGTTTGCAAGACCAAGTGCATGACCGATTTTGTGCATCGCTGATACTTGGCAGTGTCTCGATCGGGCATTTTCATGGTGTCGATTCTTGGGAAAATTACCTCGCAACGCCTTGCGCACTGCTAGCCGTGACCCTGACGATGGCACTCCTTCCGCCCGCCCCGTGGAGGTTGAGGTTGTGCACGTCGACCATTGAACTTCCGCTCGACGAGTGACTGGAGTTGGAATGGCCTTGGCCCGATTCCGGACTCGAGGGTGGCGTGAGGATCTGGCCTTCGCCCTCGCAGCCGCTGTCCTCCTCTTCTTCGATCTCCTGCAGATCGGAGTTTTGAGGATAGTTAGACAACGTACGTCAGGATACATCTGGCGCGAAACTCTCTCGAGTCTCCTGATAGGACCAGGGTCCACCTCCCGGGTGGACGGCGCAAGGGGAATGAACCTACCTCGTGCTCCTCGTCCTCTTCAAGGTCCTCGCTGGGCTCCTTCTTGAGGATGAGGGCGGTGCACGAGAGGGAGGGCGAGCTGTCCCAGGAGAGAGCCGAGCACGCCGAACTCGCCGAGGACATCGACAGGGAGTCCAGGTGCCGGTCCAGCAGGTCCCTGTCTCGGCCGTTGTGGCTGTGCTCGCCGGGGCCGAACTTGATGTCGTCCAGGCAAAGGGGGTCCCTGTCGTCCGGCGACATCGTCACCTGGAACGCGGAACGATCGATAAATCCTTGACTCTTCGTGCAATTTTCTCTATGGTCCTTGAGAAAAGAAAAGAAAAGAAAAGTGATACGAACCTCCATTTTGATGGGCGATTCGAACTGCGCGGTCGCAGAGCCGGTGGTGGCGGTCCACGAAATCGGGGGCGCCCTGAAGAGGTTCCACGGTGCCGTGTCCAGCTCCGTGGGTAGCTTTTTGTACGACTGCAGCTTCGGCTCGTCCTTCAGGTACCTCTCCATTTCGTAGCATGTCTGGAAACGGAAACAAAGGGGTACGGATGAAACCCTTGGTACTCGGAGGAGAACCTGGAATCGGGCGCATAATTCCTGGAACCTCGTACGAGGCACCTAGAGCAGTGGGACCGCCTGGAGGAGTTGGAAAAGGCGCCGACGATTTCTGGACCACGCGTGTCGGGCAAGGAGGAGCTTTCCTTCTGGGCACGACGCGAGGACATTTGGCGAACGGGGCGACAACTCTGGTCCAGCTCTCGGGGGGGGCGAAGTGCCGGAACGCGGGAGTTGACGCAAACTCCGTCGAGTTAGCCAAGTTGGCGCTCCGGTAGGCTCCGCGGCCGGAGAGTTGGCTCCTCGGAGGGAGAGTGCAAAGTTGCGCCGCTTACGACGTGGAAATTGTGCCCGGGCTCTCCCCCTTCCCGAAATGAGATTATGCCGCCCCGGCGGATCCGCATCCGCGCCCGATCTCGGACGGGCGGGCACTCCACGCTAATGTGTCATTATCGCTGCGCTGGACCGCTCGGCACCCCTCGTCGCCCTCCACATCCCGCGAAAAATGGCAGACGATTAATTTCGCCGACATCGCGGGACCAACCGCGTCTCGATCTCCGGGTAAAGTCGGTTTTGGTCTTGGTCCAACGATCCATGCAAGACGCAGATCTGGATATACTTTCCAAGGCCAAGATCGATTTAGCTCGTCACTGGGCTCTATCGACGACAACGAGGGATTCTCCCTCCCGGGAGGCAAGAGACGGAGACTCCTCCACCTCACGGGGTGATCCTAGGTCAGGAATAATCGCCGCGGAGCCGCTGGGTGCACCTAGACCCCGTCCATTATTCACGGTTAAAAGTTCGGCCAGGCCAGTGGGTACAACTAACGGCCGTTATTATAACTCCGGCGGAATTTTATCGCCCTCCCAGGACCTCCGCCCCCAGGAGTCGTTGTCGACGGCGTCGCGTTAATAGGGACAAACAGGGACCCCGGAGTTTCGGCTGGGTCAGCTCCAGGACGTCCAGGGAATCCCGATGGTCCCAAAGTTGGCTGGACCGATGGGTCCATCCATTCGCGCCGGAAGAGCCGATCGTTCCAGGATTCCCGTTCGTCTTCGAGGTCCGCGACGCGGTGGGCATGGAGGTCTCGCCGGGGATGTTGCCGCTCCTAGGGGAACCCCCGAGAAGAACGGTCTCCCTCCTCGCGCCCGCAAAACGGGACTCCACCGTGACCGTGGTCAGGGTCCCGAGGGGCGACCAACACCGGAGAGTCTTCCGAGTAAGCGAGCCGGAGGTTTACGACTTCGCGAGGACGTCGGCAAACTGCCCCATGCCCCATGCCCCCCTCCCCCTCCTTTTCTGGCCCGACATTGGCTCCATTAAATTCGAAACTGCGTAATAATTTAAAAGTTCACGATGCCGTGCCTCCTCCTCGTAACCGGTCGTCGGGTGTACCCGTTTCGCCGGCCCCCACGAAAGGGGGAACGACCCCGGGGGGCGAGTCCCCCGGATCGCCTCCGAGATCCTGCGCTTGCATGCAAATCCATCGGGCGAGGGTCCCGTGGGCTCCGGGATTTAAAACGGGAACTACGGGACCGTAAACATGTCCATGGCGGCATTTCGGGGAGGCATTAAGCGACCCTGAAGAGAGACCTCCCCCAGGTTCTGGTACTACGGGATGCTGGAGACTGGAAGAGCACTCTAAATTTGGAGAGGACGAAGAGAACCGGACACATCTCTTCGAGGTGTTCATCGACATAGGGTGCGTTTCCAAGATTCAGGATCGATGAGTCCCTAAGGGAAGAGAGGAAGAGAGGTGGCGAAAGCGGAAGGAGTCACGAATAAGGAGAAATTCCATTTTTTTTTTTTTTAAAGCCGAGCCGGCATAAAATTGAAAACCGCGCGTAATTAGCATCTATAGGGTCCAGAATGTTGAGACAGAAGAATTGTAATTTTCAAAGTATTACATTTAAATGACCAGTGCCGAGGACACACGTGGGAGAGCGCCGAGACGCGTGGCGTAACGCCGCGTAATCCCCGCAGCGGGGGATACGGTGGGCGTTATTAATGCCTCCGGTGCGTGCGACCGACCCGGCGCGGAAGCGCCGCAGGCCGGCGCGCCGGGCGGATATTAAAGGCTGTCGTTTAACGGAGGGACAACGAGACGGTCTATAGGGTTGTTTTCTGGATCGGGGACCAGGATCCCCCCGAGAACCCCCTGCGGATCCCTGATCAGGGCGCCATTCCCACAGGAGAGCGGAACACGGAGCGGGTGGAAGAGGACCGCATAAACCGGCCTCGGCGGAGATAATCCCGCCCCGGATGCTGCGCTCTCCGCAGAGGGGGAGCGGCCGGAGAAGTTTCGCGCAGTAATTCCGGCCGACTGTCATTAACAGGAGCGCGGGTTCGCCGCTCCGCGCAGAATGAACGATAACCGCGGCCGCTTCGCCGCGGAGGCCCCGTCGATGCCTCCGGACCGCGGGGATGCCGCGCGGGGGCGGGGGCGATGGCGCTCTGCCAGGTCGTTAAAGAGATTCCCAACTTTAAGGGCGCCGTAAACCCCGGGAATTTATCTTGTTCTTCTCGCCGGGATCTGACGGCGGCCGCGGGTCATCGCCGAGCGCAAAGGGGGCGAAGGGGGCGAGCGCCCCCCCCGGGCCCCGAATTTCCCAGCACGGCTGATAACCTCCCCCGAGATCCAGGGGGGAATCTTTCGAATCCGCATTTGCGCGGCCCCCTGCGGAACCGCGGACTTAACTCCTAAGGGGCGGGGGCCTTCTTGGAAACTCGTTAAGGCAACCTGCCTCCGCGTCCGGATGCCAAGGAGGGACGCCAGGAGGGAGCGGAAAAACCGGAGGAGGAGCGACGTCCTAGATACCGGACGACGCGCAACTAGACCGGGTTAAGTGGCCGAGCGGACGATGGCCAGGTCTCGCCTTTCTCGCAAGACCAGCATCAAGACCGCAAGATCGAGACCGATTTTGCTCATCGCCACAAGGAGGCCCCATCTCGGTCCCGGCCACCGGGGGGAACCCCCGACCATGCCCGAGGTCAGGGTTAACTGCGCCAACGAGGCTGGAGAGACTTACGGCCAATTCAGCGCGGACTGGCCGGCTCGTCTCGGGATGCCGCGGGACCGCGTCCCGTCTCTCCTCCGTCCCGATAACGCGGATACTCCGCGTTCACCCCCTCCCGGTCGTCCCTCGACGAGACGCTGCAATTGTTTGGTATGGTCGTGACGTCATCTCGTTAAGGACCTTCATACGGCCACGCTTGTTAGCGACCAATTTGTAGCTGCAGGCCACTCGTGCGCGGGGGAGGACGCAGGGGCCGACGCATTCCGCATGCATTCCGGATGCACTCGGAAGAAAACTGCACCGCGGATGATGAGAACGGGTCAGTGCCCATATATAGTCCTTCCCTTAAACGTCGCGTCTCAATTTTCCCCTCCCCCCGCCCACTAAAAAACACTTTCCCAGGATTGTAAATCAGGAAAAGCGATGCCACCCCCCTTTCCCTCCCCCGTGGGGGTGCCATCCGTTAAACGGGGGCCCTTCCTCCCGAGGATGCTTTTACCGGGAATGGCCCGCCAATTGGCCGGAAGTGGGTATTCGCGGGATCCGCGGGAAGAGACCCCCTCGTCCCCTCTAACCCCCTCTTGGAAGGTTATTTCCGCGAGAACCTGTTAACCCCGCGTTACGGGGGAGTTGCCGCGGCACTCGCGGCCGTTTACGGCGATCGCCGGCCGCTTCCTGAGAGCCGTTTCCCCGGCTTATCCCGGGAGGGAGGTTCCCTCGGGAATTTTACGCCGGGACCGCTCGCGCGGCTTGGATAAATCCCCTGGATGAGGGGACGCCTCGCGACCCCGGGACCGGGGGCGCGATTAAGACGGCTAAGGGCGTCCCGAGGGATGAACCGGGAATCGGGACTTCCGGCGCGGTGCTGCCGGGTTAACATAATATTATCGGGGAAAACGTCAGGGCGACGACAACTGACGACCCCGCGATGGACGTCGCGTCAGCTGACGTTGACGCGAGAACGATAGTCATCGACAGCTCACCGAACAAAGAAAGAACGTGTCCCGGGGGCTGGGGGGGTGCGCGAGGTCGCGTCCATGGGGATATGTGGGTGTAGGTGCGTGTGGGTGGGTGGAGGCATACATCCCGGATGGCGTAAGCTCTTTCGACCGCTGCGGGAATATCCGAGAGCGAAAAATACACGCCCGCCCCCGGGCGGTTTCCTCCCTTATTCTCCCCCTTTGAAACCCCCGTCGGAGTAATAGAGAAATACTTTTTTCGAAAGCGCCCCGACGGTGTCGTCGAAGACGGCGGATGGACGATCTGCACCTGGGAGATTTCGGAATATCCTGGAACGGGGCTAGCGGGTATAGGTTAGGGTTGAAAATTCTGATGATCACCTTGGTGCTTGGGGTCCTTCTACTCCATCGGACGCGGAAGACGACACGCAATTAGATTTCTCATCTCGCAGCCGTCAACGGAGGCTGCCTGGTCCGCGAGATAGGGATCGCTCCACATATCGCTCCCTGGGGGAGGTGGGAGCTGTCGATAATGAAAACACCTGTCAGACTCGTCGCGAAGTGGACGGTACACATCGGTTACCTACCCCGCGACAGGGCGCACAGATTCGCTGTCAGAGTCTCTGGATCGAGAGGGTGACAGGTGGGGGTGGAGATTTGCGGGAGGACGTGGGGGTGGAGAAAGGTGTCGGGGTGGTCCACGTTCCCCCTGAAACGTGCATCTACAGGGTGGAGGAGGCAAAGGAGTGGAGGAGGCTGGGATCCTTGCTCCACCCAGGAATAAAATGAGAAGAGAAGAGGGGAGGTGTCGACACGTTCCCTGGACGCGCCGGGAGATTTCAACGCCAGGTGCTGCATAAGCAATGTGCGGATCGGGAGGACCATTTGGCACTCCAAGATATCACGTAACTAAAGAAGAACCTGAAAAGGTACCATGAAGTGGACCTCCACCAAACCTCCTAAAAGAACATTCAGCGCTCATCTTGGAACA